ATCTGATGATTTTGTTGGAGAAAATATATAAGCCTAGTCAAAACTTAACTAAAGTAATAAATTTGTAATATAGTTTCCTTTTTTTTTACTTTACTTAAATATTTTAAATGTTCTATAGTGTGTGATGATGAATGTAACACTATATTTAGGTAGGTTAGATAAGTGTGAAAGTTTCTGATCAAAGGTCTAGTTGATCTTAAGAGGAGAATGTATATAAGATTCTTTTTTGAGTTGAACTTTATAAACTTATAATCTTCAGAACCTTAGAAAGAGGGGTTTTGAGAGAAAAACTTTAGTTCTTCTTTCCTTCTTCCTTCTAGGTTCCTTTGGAGCGTGAAACTCGTAGTTGGGAGTGCTAGATTTGAGGATTGAATTGAGAATCAAGGAGTCGGGGGCTGGTGCAGAGTTGTGAACTTGGGTCTTGAAAAATTCTTCTCTTTTTTCTCTTCACTCTTGAATTTGTTTTGAGTTGAGCTAAGGGAAGCTAGACTCAAATCCTTAATGAGTTGTTGAGTTATGGGTGCTTAGATTGACCTTGTACATGTGGTTGTTGAGCAAAATTTGAGGTGGGATTGTTGTAGGTTGAACTCTTGGTGTTTTGAGTTCATGGGTGTGGAATTGGGTAATTGATGCAATTTGTAGTGCATGTGTTGTCTTAGCTTGATTTCTATATGTATGTGACATCTACATTGTGTTGGGTGCCTTGCATGTGGTGGATTTTCTATATTCCAAGCCTTGAATGCAATTCGTGCAAATTTTTGATGTGATGCCAAACATAATTCCAACTAGAGAGCTTTGTCTCGATCACATCGGTATCGGGTGTGAGGAGAGAGACTCGTCTTAGGTCGTCGTATGTGGGTTCTATCACGCTAGACACAAGGTCTTAGGAGATCTCCACCTCAATCATGTCGAACGTGATTTGGATGATGTTGGGCATGAACGAGGTAGGGAGCTCCCTGTCTCAATGGTACCAATGCGAGGTAAGTTGCACTGGACGTGAGATGCTTAGATGTTTGGTGTGTTTTGGAGATGTTGTATGATAAATATGAATAGATGTTTTAAGTTCTATTGCATGTTGTATGACATATGCTGACTATTTTGCATATGTTGATTCTGATATGTGTAGATGTTTGTATGGTGTTAGATGATGGTGAGTATATGTAGATTGTACCTATGTATGATGTATGATTTTGGAGAGCATTAATATGCCATGTATGAATGATGTTGTTAATCTCTATATGCATTGACTGGATGTGATGTATATAATAGATGTATGGTGCGTTGTAAATACTAAAAATGTGGTACGACATTAAAACATGTTGGCTAACTTAGGACTTGAGGAGTGAAAATTATTTTGAAAATTAAAAATCCCAGATATCTTAGAGTGGTGCTCAAGTAGGTTACTGTCGGAAAACCTTCCTTGAATAGGTGTGTTGTGTCTCTTGGAGTGAGTTTTTGGGGTACAATGATCATACATTGTATAGGTGTAGTTAGGACTAGTCTTGAGAAGTTGTTGATGACAGTTGACATAATCTTTTGTGGATGTGATGCTACTATAGGTAGTTTGTGTAAGCGTGCTCAACCAATATTAGGACATAAGTTTATATATAACTTGTTTATATTAGTTTCAAGTGTTCTACTCATATTATATGTATATATATATATATAAAATACATTTCTTCCTTTAATCTTGTATGTCTTAATAATCTAATTTCTATTACTAGTAATAGTAATTTTGTTGAATGTGACGATCATAACGAGTCGTTATAATAATACTTTGCATATTATAATATAGTTTCTCTTAATTTTTTTAATCAATAATGATTTCTCTGAGTCTTGAAAAAATGAATTGAAAAGCCTACATATTATAATAGAATACATCTTCAAAATAATAAAAATCACATATACATATTAATGGTCAACTAAATAAAAAAAAAAATAATATATAAATTAATTAATTATATTTAAGTTAATTCAAATTTTAAATATGTAAATCTAATATTTAAATCAATTAACATCATATTAATTAATTTGATCCAAATTAGACTTTAAAAAATTAATCCAAATTAAATTTTTTTTGCTTAGTTCAGATTGTCAGATTAACTCAATGCAATGGACCATAGATAATTGTACAACTTTTATATTTTTTAAATAACTATACCAGTTAAAACTCAACCGCTGTAAAAACTATTATAAATAATTGGAAAATGCTATTAAAACTCTCTTATACGTTAGTGACATGTTAGGATCCAATCTTAAAAGAAAAATATTATAAATAATTTTACCTGGCTGCAATTACTTAACTGGTCATTGTTTTGCATTTGTTTGCTATGTGTTTGGCTGTTCCTCGGTCTTCAGTCACGTGTATTTTGGCTTAAATCTCCAATAATAGTGATATTTGTTTATTTTTATTTTGCTCTTATGCTGTCCTAGTACCTCGTAAGTGGTTACTTAGGTGCCTTTACTATTGGATACAAAATACGCTTTCACGAGGGTTTGACCATTATTTATATTCAAAACCATAATAAATTTATTTTTCTTATCAATAAAAAAGAAACTTTGGATGCCAAGAAAAATGATCTTCCATAAAACGAGATGGGACCAATGTAATATTTGATTATGTATATAGATAACTTATGTTCTAACTTATAATGCAATACGATCTAACATTTAACACGATTTGTAAATTTGTACCTTCAGGCTACAGCATTATATTATATAATAAACAAACATATAATTAAAAGCTAAACCCTGTAGTAGAAAATTAATAATAAAGGATCGTGATTCTAGTACGATCGCATGACAGGACAAAGTAAACGAAAGGAGAAAAAAAAAATAATGGATCAATTATGATATATTATCTTTATCCACACTTATCTTGTGAAAACAAATTGAACATAAAAAAAATCTCTTTATGGAGGCTTATCGCTTGGAGTCAATCATGAGCTTGACAATGCTTATCACTTATTTTTTCCCTATAGATGATTATATTATATTTGAAGAAAAAGAGTAGCTAACCTTGCATTTTTTTTTTGTTCACTAGTGTTTTATTTTCCCAAAAACAAAAATATTGGCTACCCATTTCCTTTATGAAAATATGGATGGGAATCTATAGTCTTGTTGGTAAAAATAATGTGGAGGAGAAGGTTTAGGAAAATATTAGACTAGAATTTGATCTAATACTTTAAAACTTTAATTTTATTTTTTTTAATAATTAAGTAGTGTGCTTTTCAATATTGATATTTAAAAAAACAAAAAGTAAAAAAAATGTAGGACTAACTTTTTAAATATCTTTTTCAAACCTTTTTGCATTTTTTTAACATTTGTTTGCATTATTTTTTTTAAATTCCTTTTTTAAAAATATATTTATCCCATTTTTTTAAAGAGAAAATGAGCTAAAAATAAATTGAACTATTACCTAACCCTTCTATAAATTATTTAGAGAAATTATTTTTCTACTTTATATTTACGCAATTTTCTCCCTAAAGAAAGATTAAAAGAAGAAAAATGAGTATATAATAAAATGATTGATGTAATAAATAAAAAAAGAGACGTGAAAAAATGTAAAGGATAAAATAATGAATTATATAACTCAATTATTTAAGCTTCTCATTATTAGAGTTGAATGAATTCTCTACTTTTAACTGATGTCATGTGAGCTTTATTTGGTATAGGTCGTTTTCATTTTTCCTCCAGTTATACGAAAGAATAATTTTAGTAACCTTTTTGTGCTGGTTTATGTGTATAAAAACTTGATGACAAAATAACTTTTCAAGAACTAAAGTTAACAATTTTTTTTTATTAGTAAAACTTATGAAAAAATAGTTTAAACACTGAAATTTTAAAAAAAATTATATCGTTATTTAATTATAAATTGTTATTTATGGTAAAGTTATTAACTTTTATCATAATTATTTTAAAACTTGTATATTATATTTTTATTTATAATATAATTGTTTATTTTTACTTAAGCACTGTATAAAAAATTTAACTCAAAATATATTCTTTTTTTAATGAACAGTAGACACCAGTATTATTATTTTTATAGATAAAGATTTCAATGACATGTAATTAAGTTTGAATTTAAAGTTTTATTCATATTATCCTCAATTCTTACTATTATGAGGTAGATTCTAATAGCTGGTGAACAAATAATTATGCAAAAAAAATTGGTATTTTGTAAGAAAAATAATTCATTACACTGTTTTATCCAAGTTAAACCGAATTGCTTTTAATAAAAAATATTTGTAGTATAAATAAAATAATTACAATTTTTTTTTTAAATCCCACTTTTTATTTATTTAGTTTATACATTTGCCGAAGTCGAAGTTTCCTCGTTTCTCTCCTTGCACACGTGTGAATCAATGATTTGGCGAAACCATAGATATCCATTGTTCAATTGGAGAATTTCTGCGACGAATATATCAACAACAGCCAGAGACGGTGCAACTATCAACATTTCATCCAAATTTCGGATGCCTCCAATTTCAATACACAAGTACATCCATGGTATCGTTGCAAAAGATATTGTAAATTGTAATGCCAATTCTCCATTCATACTAATTCACATTGTGGCACTCCTAGGACCACAACCTCCCTTCTCCAATCAAAAAAGCGTTAAATTGTCATCCATCATGCACCATATCTTCATTAAGACACCACAATTTCCCTTTCTTATAATTATGCCACATTTTTTCCTTTTTTTTATTTATTTAAAATAACTATTATCCATGTACGCCCCACAATAAATATTATCTTCAAAAAATACAAGACCCCCCAAAAAAGCAAAAAAGAAAAAAAAAAGACAAAAGTGCAAGAACAAAAAGGAAATTCCCGTGAAAGATGTTACATTTATACAAAAATAAATATTATAATAATCATGCATAAAATACCAAACTTAAATTTATTCATATATAAATTTTGATACCATTGTGTTAAAAAAAAATGATGTGCGTTCCTACACTATTTATAAATTTTATGAATCATAGGCACTAAGGATATGGATACGTTTTAATAATAAATATATTTATAAAAAGAAAAGAATAAAGGATTCAAGTACAATATGCCATCTCATAAGTGGGATCCATAGGAAGCATCTCAGCAGGGGGTCAAGGTTATCCTGGAAACCATATGCATGTGGAACCCATAAGTTCTATTCAGATTGCTATGTATGAGTAGGACTTGATACATATGGCTGCAAACCATGACGTGGCCTCACTGTTACACCATATAAACACTTGTGATGCTCTATTATTTACGGTTAAATTATTGCTTTTAACATAAATTCCATATTCTGCTATCCTCACCTTATGAATCTACTCCCAATACCTGGCTTTCAATCTAGGAGGATTTCGTGTGGCCTTCAAATCTTTTCTCTCTTAATTATAAATGTTTTATGTATATATGTATCTTCAGGGACTATGTTTTAGTCGAGCAAAGAAGATATATATAACATCTACCTAGCTGACTATATTTATGTATTTGATGCTTATTCTCCTACCTAAATTCATCGTTAAATTGTTTACGTGTGTAAAATAATCATGATCAAAGATGTGTCCCCAAAAATAAGATAATAAAAAACGTGCATGTGAGTTTTTTATGTTTTGACAACTAAACCAACCAAAACCTTTCGTATATACATATTCTTACCCTCGTGAAATGCATGCTTAATTACTTAAAATATGGAAAATATCCGTTTAGTTAGATAAAGTAAGCATTGACTGGGGATCCACTAGGGAGAAAAATACATACCGTTAATTTTGAGCACTTGAACTCTTTAAAAAGGAAAATATTCTTGCGAGTTCTACAACATTCCATTAAGAAAACAACACACTGCTAATAGAGGGAAAGTTTAATACATGTGCCGGGTTGTGTGAAGTAATAGAATATGAGTATTATTCTTGATTATGAGAATTGTGTTTCAATCGCTAAATCACAAAGTGATCACTTTTGAACTTATAATTTGGATGAAAAAATATGTTCACATCCAAGAGTTTAAAAGAAGAACGGAACAAACGTAGAAAAACTGGAACAGACGTAGAAAAACTAGAACAAACAAAAATCACAATATGAATAAAAATAAATGAATCGAATGGAGTACGAGTTAGAATATTTCAATTCTTTTTCTATGTGGTCTAATTCGACTCTCAATCCAAGATATTTGTTTTAATTGATGATTAATTTTACAAGTGTAGAATAAATTCAATTCCTTAACTATTAACCATTTTTATTTAAGTACAAGTCCTTTACCTAGGATCTACAATTATGGTGATTCACTTAAAGTTGCAACTCAGGATCAATATTTTTAAGTACGCAGTTGAGTCTCTAGGTAGCTAATAAAAAAAAAAAATGTTTGATTTAACTAATCTATAAGTTGATTGAGATCTTATAAATTATTATAAATTAGAATTTTAAAAACAAAATAATTATCGATAGTTAACTGAATGAAAACTGTTTAATAAGATTAATTAATAAATTAGTTGGTACAATATAAAATGACATATTTCTTATTTAATAACGAGACAAAAAAAAAATATTAAAAAAGTAAAAAAAAGTTTATAACTACTTCAATTATTAAAAATTTAATTGAAAGGAGATTCGTGTTTCTTTAATTTAATAACCTTCCATATTGTATTTATTGAAGTTTTAAAGTTATTTGGTTATTGACTTTATAGGTTCTACGGTTCTACCTTAGAATTGAAAATTAAAGAATGGAAATTAAGGAAGCGAGTGGGCGCAGTGAGAAAAAAAGGCTATAAATAAGCGAGGCATGGTAAGACTTATAGGCTTGAAGGCGCTACTTCAAATTCCTTAGCAGTTAGCACCTTCACCTTCTCAAACATTCTCCTCTTCCTTTTCACTATCCAAAACTGGACCTCACTTTACCCGAACCCATCATGTTCGGCCCGGCCCAACCCGCTTCCAAGCCTCCCAATTCCACCATCAAACTCCTCTGCAGTTACGGCGGCAGAATCCTCCCTCGCTACCCCGACGGCAAGCTCCGCTACCTCGGCGGCCACACCCGCGTCCTCGCCGTCCACCGCTCCATCCTCTTCTCCGGTCAGTACTCTCTCTCTCTCACTCCCACTTTAAACGACGTTTGCGTTTGCGTTTCGTATTAACCCTAATCGCGTTTCGTACAGAGCTACTGCTGAAGCTGGAAGAGCTCTGCGGCGCCTCCGTGAGGCACCTTCGCTGCCAATTACCCTCCGAAGACCTCGACGCCTTGGTTTCCATCACCTCCGACGAAGATCTCGCCAACCTCATCGAGGAATACGACCGCGTTTCCTCCGTCAAGATCAGAGCCTTTCTCTCGCCGCCGTCACCGCCGAGATCTCCCACCAAACTTTCCACACCGCCGTCCAAATCCTCTTCCTCCTCCGTCTCCTCCTCCTCCTCCTCCTCCTCGTCCTCGTCCTCGTCGTATTGCAGCCCTACCGCCGCCGCCGTCTCTGGCCGGACTTACAGAACGTCGGCGCCGTCGGTCGACCGTTGCGTCCACCAGATGTCGCCGGCGCCGGCGTATCCGGTCGTGGTACAGAAATCGAAATCGTCCGGGAGGAATGTTCCTCTGCCGCGCTACGGTTACCATGGGAACAATGGCCACGTTTATCTGATTCACAACGGGAACCACTGGCAATAGCGAAACGGTGTCGTTTAGATGAAGTGTTGGAATAGTGGAATGGAAGTACTGGTGTTATTATTATAAAAAGAAAATGATATATAAAAAAGAATATTATAAAAACCAAGACTGAAAACAAAAGGGGGAAAGGAGAGTCCTGAATATGTGTGATGTAAAATCGTTGACAAGTCAAGGATTGTGGTTTTAGCTTGTGATCCTTGATTGCCCATTAATGAATTTCTCTCCAATTTCGTGTTTGGTGAGTTCGTTCGTCCTTTTCTTCTTCCCGTGCCTTTTTTTATTCGTTTGCCAAATACTTCTGCTTCGCTGGTTCCATGGTTTTATTATCAACTTATCCATCTCATTTTATTTCCTTTCCTTGTCATCACTGTCCTTACAAACTCTCTGCCTTAATCTTTAAGAGTGCGGATATGATTGATAAATGGTTTTGGCATTTCTGTTTACAGGTTTAATTGAGGACTGAGAATATTTTACTCGCACGAGACAGCATTTGGCGCGTTTCCATTGTAAGTTTGTTTTACCCGACATAAATTTGTTTATGTTCCTGGCATCATTCATTACCATACGTTTTTCTTTATTTGATGCTTCAATTTTTGAAATTTATTGATTCTTATTCTTGTTCCATTGTTAGTTATGAATTGTTATATGCTTCTAAAAATGCTTCGTGGAAATTAGATTTATTTTCTTTGTTCTGGGGCTTATGCAAAACCTTCAGATTTTAGAACTAACTTCTTTGTTCAGCGACCTCTATTGTCTGCATAAATTCTCTCCATGTTAAATTCCTTTTGAGTTCTGGGATTCTGGCCAGGTTCAAAGGAACTAATGAAATGCTGATATAAACACTGAACTATGAACACGGGAGGACATGTTAGATTCTTGAGAACACCAAAAGAGATTGCAGGGCAATGTTGGAACGCATATAGCACATGGGGGACCAGACTCGATGCAAGAGATAAATTGAACTCGTAATGAAATTTAGAACTATCTCTTGACAGCTGGCACATGAATGTTCAAAGAACTTGAACTCAAGGTGTGAATAAATGGAACAAAACTACAAATTGATAGAACCAACATAAATTGAGAATATTTTCCTTTTTTGAAAAGAAGGAAAAGTAACAAAAGAACGAGAGAGAAAAGACTAAAAATTGGCTCGTCCTTTCGGCATGTAAGATTTTGTATTGGAAGTAAAAGGACCTCCACTCATGTAACATTCAGAGGGAAGGTTCCTTTCGCTGTCTTAGTTTTTGGAGAAGATATGAGAGATATTTCACCAACCCAATTACCCGGAATCAATTAATTATTTTATTAATTAAAATTTAAAACAATGCCAAAATAGGCTTGAAACAGAGTTCGTCTATGTTAACTTCAGCAAGACGATTTAAGGATATTCTACCACACCATGTGCGATCATTTATTCCCATCTCCTTTGGATTATATTGTGTGTTAGAAGCAGATCGAAGAGTAATGATTCAACATGTTTTGAATGTAAGAATGGATGCGAATGTTAATTCACCCGATAAAAGAGAAAAGGTCCAAGCGGAAGCGGGGAACTGAGAAAGTCATGGATGATGGATCCACAAATAAACATCAATTTACGATAAAATGGATGCCAAATGAAGTAAAATATGAAATTGTTTTATTTTATTTTAACCTGTAATTTTATTCCTAATTCTTAAAAGAATTTAAGCGGATTGGATAGTAACGAAGATAAAATGGATGCCACAGATCTTATTTACCCTAAAAATTAATAACTATGTCACACTTGTTGGTAATATATAAGTGTTAATGTAGTATATTTTTATATTGTCTTCTAATTATAAATATGTGATAACTTCATTAATATTTCTGATAAATATATTAAAAAATTTATCTGCCGTAAATTTTAATTAGCTGATAGTGTATTTTTTTTGTACTTAAATGCATGGAAATTAAATTTTAACTTTTATTCATTTAGGTTGTGATTCATTTCGAAATTAAATTTGAACATACAGTTTTAAATAGCACTTTTTTTAATAATATATTATTAAGAAATAAAAAATAAAAATGATTATGTGTCGAATATATTTGTAATAACTTTTATTAGGTTAAATATACTACCAAGTCAACGATTAAACAAAATTAGTATCATATGAATAATAAACATCAAATATAGATAGATATCTTATTAAGATAGGAATATGATAATACCAAAATATGAAAACAAATGAATAGCTTTAATATTATATGTATTAATGAATAAACAATATATGCAATACCTAGTATCGGGATCAATTGAAATACCAAGTATCTGGATCAACCGAAACGAAGTTATTTCGATAGAAACAAAGGTATTTTAATATAAGATGTGTTTCGTAAAACTAACTTATAAATTAACTAAAAACTTATAAGTAGTTGAAATTTTATAATTTAAGTTTCAAAAGTTGAAAACTTATTAATTAATTAATTGAATTAAAAATATTTAGTAACATTAGTTGATAAGTTAGTTTATTAATATAAAACAATATATTTATTTATTTGATAATGAGAGTGATTGAATGACATGTAAGACAAAAAGATTTCTAAATTAAAAAAATGATTTCAAGTAAACTAATAATGATAAAAAAGAAAAAAAAACTTAATAAGCTTTAAGTGTTTTTAATTAACTTACAAAAAAAAATTTACAAAATTCTAAAAGAAACTTTAGTACCAAACAAATTTATTTTAGTCAAATTAGTTTATAAACTAATAAAAGGAGTATGTAAGCTTCTCAAATTTCTTGTAAAACATACACTTAATCAATGTTTTTGAATTTAAGTTCTAAGTATGTAATTGAAAGGAGAATTTTACTGTTTATAATTATCCTATTGAACTTGAACAAGATTGTCTTTAATAGATAATGCACATTATTTTCATTTAATTATAGAGTATCATGTATAATAATTTTCTTACTTATATAATAATTATAGTTTGATAATATAAATTTTGTACACAAATAATACATATTTATTAAACTTTATATTAAATAATAATATTATTATTAGGGTTTAATGGTAACACATGGCAGTTTAACCCCATCATCCGGTCACAATTTACAGATATAATAAATTTATTGACTTTTATAATAATTATCTTAAAAATCATATAAATTGTAATTTTTTATTAATTAATTATGTAAAAAAAATAAAAAGAATTACACTATAATAGTGTATGATCATTAAATTTATATTATTAGTGTACTTGTGAAATAAAGCCTTTAGAAAAAACAAAAACAAAAGAGAGTTTGATGTTAACTTTGTTTGTCCTTTAAAGTCGACTAGAAAATGTTTGGCATTAGTTAACTTATAAATAGATACGGTAGCTATGAAGATTAACTTGTACATTAGAGGTGTGATTAATAGATTGTTGAATCACATTAATAAATGGATACACACTTAAAAATAACATTTGAGATGTAAAAAACCAGGTCTAAAACATTATACCAAACATATTAATTTGTGAGTCATTATCTAGGCCTTTTCCCCCCTTAACTTAATTGATTTGGCAAAACAAATACAAACCCTTGTTCTTCACACAATTTGGGATTTGCTTTAGTAAATTTTTCTACAAGTTCTTCTACAAAATATAAAAGTAAAATAATTTTATTTATTAGTTAAATTTAACTTAAAAGGAAGATAAAAATTAGTCTTTAAAATGTTTATCCCAACATGATTTTATAGGAATATTGTTGAGTTACCATTGAATGAAAATGATAATTGGTGAAGTCTGTCAGCTGTGGAGTGTTTAATGCTTTGGCAATCGCTTTAGGGGAATTGAAGCAATGGTGTTGTTGACGACGTACGCTTGCTATGTTCATTCATGTGCCTTTCTTTCATTCATCCTTATCCACGTACTACTTAGTATTATTATTCTTCTTCTGCCTCACCCAATTCTTTATCCTCTTTCGTCAAATGTGGGTCTCATTGCCTTGCCTTCTCCCTATCCAATTTCGATTATTTAAGCAAACGTATAAAATACATGTTCCTACACCTACACCTACACGCTTCCAATTATAAATGTTTCCTAACGACAACAGTTTGATGCCTAACTTTTTTAAATAATCATTCAGAGAAGGGCCTCACAAAAATACAGGAACAGAATTGTTGTGTCATAACTAGCTAGACTATTGTTGTTAAAGCAAATTTTCCATAATGGACTTCTGGTGTAATTTTTAAGCCCAAACTGTGTTGGGTTTGTGCATTTAAGGCCGAACATGGTAGAGTCCCACACAATCCTTACCCACACTCACGCCCAGCCCAACCTAGCCCAATGGCACACACGTGTTTGTCCAAAGTTAACTGTACCGGAGAGACCGTATCGGTCACGTGGGCCAACACGCGATTTGGAGAAGAGTTATGCTACAGTCTCCGAAATTTTCTCCAAATCGTCATCCAAAAATTTAAAATATTAATATTTTTTAATAAATTTATTATAAAATAATTATTTAATTTAATATTTTATAATTTAAAATATTATTTTATTCATTCGACAAAACTCTATCCAAACTCTCAAATGGAATCTAATTATTTGTTCAAGGTATTTTTTTATGTCTTGTTTTAATATTTCTCCAAAACTTATTTCTATGCATCTATTTCTATAAAGGCTTATAAATTGAAAATTCTTAAATAGGGTAATATTTTATTAAACCTTTAATTTTAATTATTATTTGAGTTAATTCATAGGTCTAGGGTTTAGGATTTTTATGTCTTGTTTTAATATTTCTCCAAAACTTATTTCTATGCATCTATTTCTATAAAGGCTTATAAATTGAAAATTCTTAAATAGGGTAATATTTTATTAAACCTTTAATTTTAATTATTATTTGAGTTAATTCATAGGTCTAGTTTATAAATGGGGCGGGGGCGGGTATGATGATATCCATACTCGCGGGTACCCGTTTAATATTATTTCTTAAATATCATAATTATCTTTGTACCTCATAACCCTAAAACTACACTCTCTCATCTTATTTTCTTACAAAAATGAGGTTGATGAAGTTACAGACATGTGTTAAGCATGTTATAAAATTATGTTGGATGTAATTTGATTAATTTTCTAGCTTTGATTGGACCAATAAAATTTATGTATTTTAAGTTGTTTACTTTCATTTGAAATTATGAAATTGAATTATTGTAGCTTTGTGATGAGACTTTAACTTACTTGTGAGATTGATGTATTTTAAGTTATTGATTATCTTGAATTTTTATTATTATTTCAACAAAATTAACGTTAAATAAAAGTTCAAAATTAACATTGAATTTTAATTTTAATATTTCAATGACATTAAAATATAAACTTAAAATTATTTGTAATATAATTTTTTTAATTTCTTAAAAATTTTATAAATACCCATGGATATCCGTGAATATTCGTGGGTATTCAAAAAATTCATGGATATCTGCTTAATGGATACCCGCGCAGATATAGGATGGATATGGGTCAATTTTCATTCAGCGAGGCTATTACCTGCCTCCATGAGACCCATTGCCATTCCTAGTCTACGGTCTCCAAATAAATTTGTCTGAATTGTGATCTAAAAATTAAAATATTAATATTTTTTAATAAATTTATTATAAAATAATTATTTAATTTAATATTTTATAATTTAAAATATTATTTTATTCATTCGAAATGAATTTCGACATACAGATTCGAGGCCCAATCATTTTTCTTTTGGAGAATCCTTTTAGAGATGACATATGTCGTGTTAAGTTTAAAGGTATTGAAGTTGTCTAGTCACAAGTTTAAACTCGGGGTCTTGAGTCGTTTGCAATTGAAACTAGTCATCTTGTAGACTACTAATTACTACTTTTGGGTTCTACAAAGAAAGGATTTCTAATGATTTTTTTCTTCAATTCCTCTTTGGAATGAGCTCCAAAAGATAGTTCAAAAGGAGCCTTCTTTTTTAATGTTAAAGCCTTCTTAGTTAGGGTATAAGGACTTAAAGCTGATTTAGTTTTCCAAAATTTGAATTTGGCCTTGAGGAATTCTATATTAAACTTCTTCCACCAAAATACTTTTATTTTTAAATAGAGGTTTGGTGGATAAGGAACCTATAAATGCTGATGGAATTCAAATATATGTTTGAATCACCAACTTACATCCATGGTAGAGCAAAAAAAAAGGAGTTTTAGATGAACAGACATACTTTGGGTTAATGTGTTAAAATTGTCATAATATTTACTGATTTTAATGGTAAAATGGCTCTCATTGGTCCTATGAATAGAAACCAGTACAAAATCTAAGATAGTATTTCAACTAGTAATTCATTTTTAAAATTGATACACCATGAATGTCTGGGGTTATTTTTGAAAAGAATCTTATACCAAACATCTTAATAATCAAAGTAATTATAAGAAGAGGGAAAAAAGGGTCTTGAAAAACCCTTTTCAGTGAAAAAGTGTTGATTTCAATATGAGAATAACAACACTTTAATAATTTTAAGTTTATAATAATTGATAATGGAGGAATCTCTTTTATCTATTTTTGAGGTGATCTCTACAAAACTAGTACCAATTAACATATATTGATAAAACCTTTTAATTTTTTTTCTTCTAAAACTTGATTTTTTTGGTATCCAACTCCAATAAGGAGGGGATAACTTTTGTATTATTTTCTAAAATTTGAGATTTTCTAACTTGGATTCTAAGATAAGTATTCTCTAACAAATAATTTCAATATAGAAATCCAATGATAGAAGTAATTATGGGGTTTTTTAAGAGTTTTTAGAAAAGGAAGTTCTTAAGACTATATTTGTAGAGTCTAGTAATTTTTTGGTATTAGAGGTAGGCTTTTCATATGAAGGGGCAAAGTCGTTTAATAATAAGCTTTTAGAGGGTGTTGGAGTTCTGGGTCCCACAAAGGACCTTACGGGATAAGGGAGTTTCATGTAGAAATTCACGAGTTAAAAAGTTAGGTACAAAATTATTTTTTCTTTTATAAATTCTATTTCAAAATAAAAAAATAAAAAAAATAAAAAGACTTTGTCATTTGGCAAAAACTTGTTTTGAAATAAAATTTCTAACATCTCTTTCTAATACTTCTTTAGCTAATTTACAATCTATTCTTAAAAGAAAGTTTTTATTTATTAAATCACGTTAAAAAATTTGTACACAAAAGACAATGCTTAAAATTTCTTTTTTAATGGTACTATATTTGAGTTGGAACTCTATCCAAACTCTCAAATGGAATCTAATTATTTGTTCAAGGTATTTTTTTATGTCTTGTTTTAATATTTCTCCAAAACTTATTTCTATGCATCTATTTCTATAAAGGCTTATAAATTGAAAATTCTTAAATAGGGTAATATTTTATTAAACCTTTAATTTTAATTATTATTTGAGTTAATTCATAGGTCTAGGGTTTAGGATTCTTCCCAAACCTATTAAAAAGGGGTTCACATATTATTCTTAAATTGGGTATGCAATCAGTAGTGTAATTTAGGTATCCTAAAAACTCTTTATAATTGATTTTTATCTTTTATTTCATTATGAAATTTATCAACAAATTATATACTTCTTTTAATTGGAGTTATAGTTCCTTGGTATATTTCATGTCCTAGAAATTTATTTTAATTTGGACTATTTTATTTTCTTTTAAGAAATAACCATTTTATTCTTTTTAATAATATTTTTAAAGGTATTTAAATATTTTATATGTTGTTCTATGGAGTTAGAAAATATTAACACATTATCAATATAAACAAATGCAAATTATAATTAGATTTATTATATTTTATAATGTTTTGAAATTTAGATGATTGTAAAAGTAATTTTGTATTTGTATTTGTCTTTTCTTTTAATTTTATTTGATAATATCCAAATTTCATATCAAAGAGAATATTATTACTTGATATATTCTATTAATTAATTCAATTTTGTTAGGTAAATAATACCTAATCCATTTTAATATCTTGTTTAAAGGTCTATACTTTATTACTAATTTTGGTTCTCCCCATTCTAATTCGAAAGCATTTTGTATATAGAAAACAACACAACTCCAATAAGATTTACTAGGCTTAATTAATTTTTTTAATTAAAAATAAATTCATTTTTTTTCTATAATATTCCAAAGTTTCTTTATTTGATTGTAGTTTGACTTTACTCAAGATTTTACTTCTGTGAAATCTTTTTTCATATGGTAATTCTACTATGAAAGATTTCCCTTCCCAAATAGCATTATATACTTTAGTACAAACTTCTTTTACAAACTTATTTATTATTTTTTCAATTTTTTTATTATTAATAGATTTTTAATTATTCTTTTATTTTTTTGTATTTTATTTCTTATTGTAAATATAATATTTGATTGTTTTTAACTTCTATTTTTTTTATAAAGTCATCTTCAATAACATCTTTAATTTCTAATTTCTTTTGTTTCATAGGTTTTATAAATTTAGAAAATCAACTACTTTACTATTTTTATTATTTTAGATGAATTATTTATTCATTTCTTTCATTTTTTAATAAAAGATATAGTTTCTTCTTATTGAATACATCTATTCATTACTCTACTTAAAATCGAGAATCCAACATCTGTATTGAATAGTTAACCATAAAATTTTACAAAGAAAAAAGTTAACTATTAAATATGAACTATTTTTTCTCCTCATTTTTTTTTTGAGTAGAGAGATTACTAAATTTAATGGTTGATCCTCAGCCTATATAATATACTACTTGCGGACTACGTTAATTAAGGTTTTTTTTAATAGTTAAGACTTATGATTCACGCAAAAATTAACAACCTAGCATTATTTTAATTTTAAGATTAAAACCTTTATTTAGTTTTTTATAATATTTTTTTGTTTCAATTTAGTCCTACTTTAATTTTTAGTTTCAATTTGGTCCCCAAGAATTTAAATTATTGCAATTTGGGACTTCTATCCAAATGATTTAAATGAAGTTAATTTTTGGCCACGTGGATATCAGGTGGATACCATGTAGATGTCTAGGTAGACGCCAAATTTCATGAATACACCTGGAACCAGAACGACCTGCTCTGAAATGGGAACGGCCCGTTCTGCTTGCACATTTTATGTGTTAATTTTGCAACTGGAACAGGTCGTTTCAAATGCAAATTTAACACACCATGAGTGCATCAGAACGGGCCGTTCTGGTGTTAGAACGGGCCCGTTTCAAAATGCTAACTTCGTACATACGTTGACCAAAATGTCGCAATGTGATTCAAAAATTAAAAATAAAAATTCATAACATATCATAAATTCAAAGATAGAAACATGGTTCAGAAACTGAAAACAAAAATTCAGAATATAATATATACTAAAAAAGTTCAAAGAAATTACTGAGAAAGGAAATCATCTGGGTAACGCTGGGTAACGCTGAAGGGAAACCCTAAACCAAAAAAATTCAAGTTGTACCTCCTCAAAAACAAGTTGTTATTGTTGGGGTACATCGTTAATGACTTCAAGGGAAAACATCGTTTTGTTTCATCCTTGACTGTATAGTGTCAATTTGGTAGTAAGTGATTCACTCCAGTTTGACTAATAATGAAATAAATCATGCTACCATTGTCCTTAGTGATACACTACATCATCCTTAATAATATACTATATTGCCCAAATGCTTAGCAATTGAAGTTATCAATCCCCATTGACAATATTACCAAATCTAGTGTTTGAAATGTTTTGTACCTTGAGATTTTTTCATTGCATGATTCATAACCGTGAACTATAGTCATCGACCATTCTGGAACCAGAACGGTCTGTTCTGAAACCAGAACGGTCTGTTCTGGTTACACTATTGGTGTGTAAATTTTGTACCTGGAGGTACAAAATTTACAAACCTTTATTTAGTTTTTTATAATATTTTTTTGTTTCAATTTAGTCCTACTTTAATTTTTAGTTTCAATTTGGTCCCCAAGAATTTAAATTATTGCAATTTGGGACTTCTATCCAAATGATTTAAATGAAGTTAATTTTTGTGCGACTTTCTTCTCGGCCCTTACATCCGACCTTCTTTTTTCAGGTTGGGGCCGAGTGGGTTTCTTTTTCCGAGCCGACGACACTACCCCACCAGCTTGGACGGTAGTTTGATTCCCACCCATCGGGGCTGGAGTCTTGTTTCCAGTAGTGGCCGCCAACTGATTCCGGATCAGGTTACGGATGTCTAGATCGTCATCTCCTCTTCTATCCAAATGATTTAAATGAAGTTAATGTTTGGCCACGTGGATATCAGGTGGATACCATGTAGATGTCTAGGTAGACGCCAAATTTCATGAATACACCTGGAACCAGAACGACCTGCTCTGAAATGGGAACGGCCCGTTCTGCTTGCACATTTTATGTGTTAATTTTGCAACTGGAACAGGTCGTTTCAAATGCAAATTTAACACACCATGAGTGCATCAGAACGGGCCGTTCTGGTGTTAGAACGGGCCCGTTTCAAAATGCTAACTTCGTACATACGTTGACCAAAATGTCGCAATGTGATTCAAAAATTAAAAATAAAAATTCATAACATATCATAAATTCAAAGATAGAAACATGGTTCAGAAACTGAAAACAAAAATTCAGAATATAATATATACTAAAAAAGTTCAAAGAAATTACTGAGAAAGGAAATCATCTGGGTAACGCTGGGTAACGCTGAAGGGAAACCCTAAACCAAAAAAATTCAAGTTGTACCTCCTCAAAAACAAGTTGTTATTGTTGGGGTACATCGTTAATGACTTCAAGGGAAAACATCGTTTTGTTTCATCCTTGACTGTATAGTGTCAATTTGGTAGTAAGTGATTCACTCCAGTTTGACTAATAATGAAATAAATCATGCTACCATTGTCCTTAGTGATACACTACATCATCCTTAATAATATACTATATTGCCCAAATGCTTAGCAATTGAAGTTATCAATCCCCATTGACAATATTACCAAATCTAGTGTTTGAAATGTTTTGTACCTTGAGATTTTTTCATTGCATGATTCATAACCGTGAACTATAGTCATCGACCATTCTGGAACCAGAACGGTCTGTTCTGAAACCAGAACGGTCTGTTCTGGTTACACTATTGGTGTGTAAATTTTGTACCTGGAGGTACAAAATTTACACACCAAGAATGCAACCAGAACGAGCCGCCAGGTGTATTCAAGAAATTTGACATTCATCTACATGGCATTCACCTGACATCCATGTGGTCAACTTAAATCATTTGGACAGAAGTACCAAATTACAATAATTTAAATTATTAGCGACTAAATTGAAACCAAAAATTAAAATAAGACTAAATTAAAACAAAAAAATATTATAAGAGACCAAATAAGAATTTTAACCTAATTTTAAACATAAACAGAATTTAAACTCGAGCACCAAGTCCTTTATCTGAAGACAGAGGCTTTGTAATTAGTGAATGAAGAGGTTTAGTTAACGTTAATTAAGTATAGTTTGAAAGAGAAAAATAAAGTTTAGTGAGAGATATGATGCAAAATGAAAGGTGTGAAGGGTGAAGAAAGGAAATACCGATAATAGCATCCATCCACCGACGCGCCTTCTCTCTCTCTCTCTCTTTCTTCTCTCACACACAGACACACCACACTCTCACCGATGAAGCACCGAACATGGCCTCGTGCCTCCTCTTCTCCTTTCTGCTCTCTCCCTTTTTCCAACCCAACCGCTTCCCAGATATCCGCCCGCTCCACGCGCCCTGCGCCGTCCTCCCCCGCCGCCCACTCCTCGGCGCTTCCGTGGCTCGGTCATTTGCCGTTCCGACTAGTATTGAATAGTCGGCTCGGCCTCTTGCCGAAGGGTTAAACAAGTTATAACGGTAATCACAATTAAGAAAGGTAAGTACATGATTAAAGCCTAACAACCAATTAGTACCGTATTACCTAATTTGGTAAATGTCTGAGAGGGCCCATCACGCTCAGGCCCATGTCAGATGCTATAAATAGGTCACACATAACAAGGTATGTCACTGTTCATTAATTATCCTAGAATATCGTGCTTATCCTGACTTGAGCGTTAGAGTGCCTTTTGCAGGTACCTCCCCCCTCTGAAGAATCCGTTTGAAGTATCCGTTCGGCCCTTCTTACCAAGAAGACTACGAGTGTATCCTTGAGCAAGTACATTAACTAATCGCAATTCACAGGTGTTCGGTCGGATAAAGGCTTAAAATCAATCTTAAGTGGGAAATCTGAAACTTGAAACATTTTTTATTCTTGTGTGTAAAGACTCTTAAGTTTATCTTTTTTTCTTTTTACCTTTTCATTTTTTTTACAGTAATTAAGAATGTATGGATCATTCACTATTAGAATTGTTCTCATTGACTTTTAACGTTTTTAAATATAATTCTTGTGTAATTACAAATTGTTTTATAATTTAAAATACAGTAAAAATAATACACCCCTGAAACATTTTTTTTATATATATATTATACTTTTTCTTTTGTTATAAAATGTTTGATGTTTTCAAGTAATATTAATTAATTTCTTTTACATATATTCTTATATAGTAATTATTATTCATGATATAAGTATGTTTCTTAAAACGATGTTGATATGTTAATTTAGCGTGTGGGTGGGCAATGTAGAGATTCGGTGTAGAAAGCAAGCATGAAGTTGGTGAAAGACGTAACAACTGACGTGGCTTTGCCGTTGTCTTATGCAAGCCCCCATTCTCAGTGGAGACAAATCTCAAGCTTATGCAAGAGGAGATAATGCCTTTAGAGCTTGTGTTCGACAATATAATCTTTTAGATACAGGCTTTCAAGGCTCTATCTTTACTTGGCGGCTGAAATTCCCTAAAGCTCATTTATTTCATTTGAGTATGTTCAAATCTGATCATTGTTCGAGGAGGCCTTTATAGTGTGTTTGAGTAGAGAATTTAAATGGAGTAATTCATTTATTTAAAGAATTTCAAATTTTTTGAAGTGAAATATCTTGTTTGGATGGAGAATGTATAAATAATTTGAAATTCAAGTATTTGTGAAATTCCTTTAAATAGTAGAATTTCAAATTCTCCTAAAAAAGTAAGAATTTGAAATTTCTCATATTTTTTCTTCTTCTTATTTTACTTATATATTTTATCTTATCTCATATTTCTTCATATTTTTAATTATTGAATATTTAAAAATATTTTTAAAATTATTAAATATTATCTAATGTTAATTTTTAAAATTATTAAATTTAAAAATTAGCTAATATTTATTTTTATAAAATTTAATTTAAGAATCTCAACATATAAATATATTTTTAAAATCAAATTTACCATGGTGGAATCAAATTATCATATTCAATCCAATAATTTAAAATTTGAGAAATTTGAATTGACTTATCCAAACAAAATATTTTAAGAATAATGGAAATTGAAATCAAAGTAATTCAAATACCAAGAATTTAAAATTTCTTGAATTTGTAAAATTCCTCATTCAAAGACACCATTAGGATTTGAAGCTGCATGGCTGACACATACTACTTTTCCTAGAGTTATAAGGAGGGAATGGGAGGTGAATGGCGAATGGCAAATGGAACGCAAGAGTCACACATTCAAGTGTCCTTAAAATCCAGATGTAAGTGGCTGCAACTTGGCGATGAGAATACAACGTATTTTCATGCTACTACTGTTATTCGTCTGAGGAAGAATAAAGTGGATATGCTCCAAGATGAGGATGGTATGGCTACCAAATACAAAAGACCTTGAGAATATGGTGACTAAGTTCTATAAAGATATGTTTCATGATTAATTATTCTTCTTTTTGTTTGAGCAATACTTTCCCAGAATTGAAGGGTGATGTTTGTCAGATATTAGGTAGTCCAATTGGAGATGAGGAGATTTTTACCGTAATTCCAAGTATGGAAAATTTTAAAGCTCCACATGTATATATTGTATATATTGATGGGTTGCAAGCTATCTTTTATCAATCTCAATGGGATACAGTTGAGCTGACTGTGCTCCTTAATTCATGATACTAAATTGGATCCTTATTCTAAGGTGGCATCTATAGTCGACACCCTTATTACTCTAATTCCTAAGGTGGATAAGGCTGCAATGTTAAAGTACATGAAACCTATTAGTCCATGTAATGTCTCGTAGAAGATTCTTACTAAGGTATGATATCATAGTCTTAAAGTTGTAATGGAGGAGTTGATGGGGCTTAACCAATATAGTTTTGTGTGACATAGACACACTAGTAATAATATTATCATTATTCACGATTTAGTCAATGAAGCATAAGTCTAGGAGGAAAGGTTGGATAATGATTAAGATTGATTTAGAAAAAAAGTATGATGGATTCAATTGACATTTTTTAAAACTACTATTTAGGACATTGAATTTTATGTTTTTTTTTTTGTAAATTTGATTTGAAGATATATTTCTTCTCCTATGATGTGTGTATTGTGGAATGAAGATGTATTTCATTCATCCAAAGGTATTAGACAAAGGGATTTAATATAGCCTTATCTATTTGTGCTATGTATGGAAAGATTATTTCACCTAATTGAGTTAACAACTACTCAAAAATTTTGAAGGCCTATTAAAATCTCTAGAGGCAAACGTAATCTTTCTCACTTGACTTTTGCAGATGACTTGATTCTTTTTGTGTGGAAGTATCTTTAGATCAAGTGAAAATTATTTAAACATAATTGAAACTTTTCTGGAATAGTTTTGGCTAGAAGGTTAGTCAAAATAAAACTAGAATTTAGTCCTCGGATAAAAGAGTTATAAGTTGTATGAGATAGAGGTATTGATGATACTATTTTAAGAGAGTGTGATTTTGAAATGATAATTAAGTTTGTAAATAACAAATGTTTTAGATACTATGCTTGTTACTCTTTAGTAAATAAAGTAATTCATATCGATGAGAATAATCATGAAATTATATGTTAATATATATTTTGAAAAATAAATCCGATTATAGATATCTTAACTAAACATGGTAGAATCCTAATAGAAGGTGTTCATATTTTTGGATCCCTTCCTCTTGAGATTGAAATTGCTTTATTTGTGACGCAACTCTTGGAAATAACCAAAAACCAAATCGAGTGTTGGAAAACAAGAGTGAGCAGCGAAAGTAGGAAAAGGAAAATGAATCGGAGCGATTTCCCCATCCTGGCACACGTTCTACACCACCAACACCCCGACACCTATCCACCGCTTCCCACACAACTCCACCAATCTCTCCTAAGCCGCTTTCCTCACCTGAACCACCCCAAACTCCTCTCCTCACTCTCCCAACACCTCTCCCTAAACCCTAACATCTCCCACACGCTCTCCCTCCTCCGCACGCTCGGTCCCCGCCCGGACCCCTCCGCCCACCACCACGATGCGCAGCTCTACCACACGCTCCTCCGCCTCCATCACATGCACCAGGACTGCGCCAAGCACCTCGCCGCCACCGAGGAGAGCCTGGTGGAGGCCTACGACGCGCAGTCGCTTGATGAGGTCACGACTGACGGCGTGGTTGCCATTTTGAGGAAAGCGGAGAGCGAGGAAGTGGAGAGGGTTGATCTCTCTGCCTCTCACTTGAGGATTCTCCCGGAGGCCTTCGGAAGGATTCGTGGCCTCCTCCTCCTTAATTTGTCTCACAATCAGTTAGAGGTACTATGCACTATGCACTATGCACTATGCACGCTATTCTATCATTGTTTGAAATAACAAGGTATGCATTTGAAGGAGATTATGAATTTGTTTATTTTGGATGTTTCCGTGTGGTCAAACAGGCGATTCCTGATTCAATAGCGGGACTGCAGAAGCTTGTGGAGTTGGATATTTCATCTAATATTTTAGAATCCCTACCAGACTCCATTGGATTGCTCGTTAATCTAAAGCTTCTAAATGTGTCAGGGAACAAGCTAACTGCTCTTCCTGAATCCATTGCTCTTTGCAGGTAGCTGTGTTTCTTGTGTCAGGGGACTTGTTGGAAATATAATATAAAATCACTCATGTTTTTACCTAATTCCTACCTTTTGAAATGAATTGTTGATGATACTGTTATTTTGTGCTTCGGTTAAGTTTTTCTTTAATGTAACTGTAGGTCACTAGTTGAACTGGATGCTAGCTTTAACAACTTAATGTGTTTGCCAACCAACATGGGTATTGGACTTGGTAACCTGGAGAAGCTCTTGATCCATTTGAATAAGATACGATTTCTTCCCTCTTCCATTGGAGAGATGAAATCTCTGAGGCACCTTGATGTTCATTTCAATGAGCTTCATGGCCTACCTCAATCTATTGGGAAACTCACCAATCTGGAATATCTAAATCTTAGCAGTAATTTCAGTGATATGACAGAGCTGCCTGAAACACTTGGTGATCTGGTTAACCTAAGAGAGCTTGACCTCAGCAACAACCAGATCCGAGCTCTTCCTTACACTTTTGGTCGGCTTGAAAGTTTAACAAAGCTCAACCTAGACCAGAATCCAATCGTAGTTCCCCCAATAGAGGTTGTAAATCAAGGGGTTGAGGCTGTGAAGGAGTTCATGGCCAAGTGGTGGCTTGATCTCATTGAAGAAGCCCAACAGAAAAGCATGGCTGAAACACAAAATCAGCAAGCGCAGACAGGATGGCTGGCGTGGGGAGCCTCATTGTTAAATAATGTTGCTGAGGTTTCTGAAAGTGTTGCAGAATATTTTGGCGCTAGAAAAGCTCCTAGAGACCCATGGTTGGATCAACAGCTGTGAGATAAGTATATCTGGAATCTACGTACATACTGGCTTCATAATTTCTGATGCATAGTTTGTGATAGTGTTTGGTCTCTTGTGACCATTGTAATCAATACTCGTGTGTGAACAAGTGTAGCTAGCATAAGCCTTAGGCTTGTTTTTCATTTTATCTTTTTTGTTTCTTTTACTTGCACAGTTAAACTCGCTGTATAATATTAGAGAAGTACGGTGCTGGACCTCTACCTAATTTTGTTTAAATGCAAAATTACCTCTTATGTTTATTCAGTGATTTTTGTTGAGATTTCAAGAAATTGTTTTTTCAATAGTTTGAATAGAATGGGAACAATCCTTAGATCACAATACCTCGAGTAAAATGTGAAAGCAGACAAACAGATCAGGACTGAAATCCTTAATGTTATTGGTTCGGTCATTCAGGATATCACAAGTAGCAGACAACTGGGATCACGTAACAGAATTACAGATAAAATAGAAATAACTATTTTTTCAATAAAGATCTGAAGCATAATCAGGTAAGTTTTAGTGAGAGAGAAAAATTGAACGCCTTAGTAGTATATAAAAAATAATAAAACACAGAGCCTAACCGTACCAGGAAAGTAAATTTTCAGCAAACGCTTCTGCAACATTAAAAGATCCATAAGCTGAAAACCTCACGAGAGATCAGTTCTAAATAATACATAAGCAGATAAAGCCACGAACGGTGGCGATTAAACCTTCTGCGCTCTCACACCACAAATTATGTTGTCGTAACGGTACGTTGATCCCTTTTAACAGCTAAGAAGCTGCAATAAGAGGTGGTTCTTAGAAGATCATACTGCTGATTAGCCATAAAACAGAGCACTTGAAGAAAAGATAAAATAATTAGAAAACGTATCTTATTTGTTTCCATATTTTGGTTTTTAAAACATTGGATGAAGATTTGATTGCTAGATAGTATAAAATTATACACGTTTGTTTATACTTTTTTTTCTTAAAAAAGTGTTTTTTTATAAATAAAATAAGCACTTTTTACTATTTTTTATGTATTTGTGTAATTTAAAAAAAAAAAGCAGATTCTACATTTTTTTAAGAAGTAACTCTTATTTACTTCTTAAAGAATTACTTAATAAAAAATATTTAATTAAAAACACCTTTTTTTTTTAATTTTGTTTACCTTATTTTAGAAAATAGTTTTTAAGACAAAAGTATAAAGGAAATCAAACCCGTCCTTAAAAATCCATACTTCAGCAATTATTCCTTCTCTGTTGATTAATTTTGCTAAATCGTTCCGCCCCCTGACTTTAAAGTTTAAAGACCTTAACAGATTCATTGATGAATATTTGGAGGGTGTTCTCATTGATTTGGTTGTGTTCAATATTTATTTTTAATAAATAAAGCTGGAAAGAAAAACGCGTTCGTATATAAAATCTCCTTTGGTCAAGGAACTTCTGAATCGCAAGTTTCTCTGACAAGATGAACTTCTCAAGTCTTCTCTCCTTTCCCTATCTTCAAATTTTATCCTCCCAGAAGACAAAAGACCACAACTTTCAGAGGTTACCTCTTTGGACTCCATTCCCATATTGATTTGAGTGATCAGTTATATGATGATAATCCTTCATCCTCATCACTTGTTCAGAAGATATCACAAGCTTGTGAGGAATACGGGTTCTTTCAGATTGTGAACCATGGTATTCCTAAACAAGTTTGCAATAAAATGATGACAGCAATCAGTGACCTTTTCAGTTTGCCTCAAGAGCAAAGAAGACAACTATACACAACAGATCTAAGCAAGAACACAAAACTTTTCAATTTTTACCTTAATGTGGAGGGTGGAGAAAAGGTGAAGATGTGGAGTGAATGTTTTGGTCATCCCTGGTATCCTACTGAGGATATCATTCATCTTCTGCCAGAACAAATAGGGACTCAATATGGGTGAGGAGTTTTCTCTTTGACTCTACCATTTCATTCTAATATTAGCTACAAATTATGATAATTGATAAGCTGTATTACTTTGTTTATCCTATTCAAATAAATTTCTCTATATATAAAATGAATTAAGTTTCTCTTGTAAACTAAAGTTAACCGGTACACTTTTGAAGAAGTTAAAGCGAGAGAGTTTCTATAAATGTTAAGTGATTAAATTAATTTTATCTTAAGAACCTACTCAATTTATTTACCTTTCTTATATTTTTCTATGCAATTGTTTATGAAAAAATTTACTTGAAGAGACTATTTCTGTAAGTTATTTAACATAAAGCAATATATTTGTTCATCACAGGGAGGCTTTTAGTGAATATGCAAGGGAGATTGGTTCATTGATGAGAGGCTTCTAGGTTTGATATAATAGGGCTTGGAGTAGAGGAGGATTGCTTGGTGAAGATATTAGGAGATGAGCCTAGATTAAGATCACAAGCAAATTTCTATCCACCATGTTCAGATCCAGAGTTGACTATGGGTCTCCCTGTGCATACTGATTTCAGTGCTCTCACTGTTATTTTGCAATCACAAGTTTCTGGTCTCCAAGTGATCAAAGATGGGAAATGGATTTCTGTACCTGCTATACCCAATGCATTTGTTGTCAACCTTGGAGATCAAATTCAGGTATCATTTGAGTACTTTGCAGCAAGAGATATATTTCAGATTTATAAAATGACAAGGTATAAGTTGCTGCATTTAACATTTTTAATATTGCTATAGAAAAGGCTGGATGCACATAAATTTAAAGTACAAACTATAGATCCATTTACGCGTGTCTGAAAAATTATATGCATGGTAAAAGAAATGAATGAAACTTTCATACTCACATATATATATATATATATGCCTAACTTGTTGAGGTATAATTAGGAAGTTACTATCAACCTGGAGTTAGTTTAGTTAAAATTAGTTAGTTAGACTTGATCTTGTATATAAACCAACATTATGAATTTAATAGTCGCAGTCTCACATTCAATCAAATCCATTTATAATTTTCAACTAATGTCTTTCAACTCAGATTTCCTTCTCTATATGATCCATTTGTTGTTCTTTGAAATGTGAGTTTATGAGTTATTATAGGCAGGTTCTGAGCAACGGAAGATTCAAAAGCGTACTTCACACTTCACAGGGCTGTTACCAACAAATTGCATCCAAGGGTGTGGATGGGAATGTTTTATGGGCCAAACGATGACACTATAATTGGCCCAATTCAGGATTTGATAGATGAGGAACACCCTCCCAGATACCGAAATTATCGCTTCTTTGAGTTGCCATATTAGTGATAAAAAATGGTGTACCTACTCATCATTTTATGGTAAAAAAGGAAGGGTCTCATTTTTAACCATATAATAAAACCGCGTGGGTTTTATGGTAATACTGAAAAAGTGAATCGTGAAAATATTAGCTCTCATGCCTACATCAATAAATTGGGATGAATGGGATCCATGAAAACATGGAAATAACTAAATAAGAGTTACTGTTATCGTACATCGGTTGTTGTCAAATAAATTATGAATAACACTTGCATATAGTTTATTGTTAGTGTTGTTTTCTGATGAGAATTAAAGTTTCGTATGATAATATGCCTAATAATTCATTCTATTATACGTCAAAAACGTATTAAAAGGAAGGAAAACTCTAATTCTAAATGTAAAATACCACGACCACTTATGATATTGTACATCAATTTTGTTCATAAATTGTGTTGTCAAAGTCACGCAGTGACAGGCATCCAAAACGTTCCATTATAGAAGAGAATGATGTGAATGTGATAAATGATAGGGTGTAAAGAATTATTACTCCATCTATAAACTGGTATCAATGAAACAGTACTGGAATTAACTAAACAAAAGTGATTGTTCTGCCACAGATACTAATTCCTGGTATACCAATGTCCAGCGTGTTTGGATGCATGCTGGAGTATGCGAAAGGCACTTTTAAATGTCTCAATTACTGGGCCAATTTATTTGAAAACCAAATGTTAACGTGATGTTAATTATAATTAGACTTCAAACAAAGGTTTTACAAGAAGCAACAGTCAATTCCTAAACTATCTTTTTCTTTAAATTTAATATTAAGAATAAAAATGATTCTCAATCAAATGAAAAAATATTTTAAAGATAGTAGTATTAAATATAGTAAAATTAGTTAAAATTTGTTTATATTTAACATTAATAAATTATTTTTTTTATATTCAAGGTTGAAAGCAGTACGTTTTATTTATCATATTAATTAGATTAGCTCTTATTTATATTTTTTTTTTTTAAATTTCAATCTAATACATCTTTATAATGTTATGGGTTCATATCATAGTTTTAAAAATCAGACCGGTCATCAAACTGATCAGGATACAGGGACGATGAGTCAAAAATTAAACCGATAGGTCACTAATTGAACCGTATGACTCGATTTTTATTAATCTTGTTAAAAAAATATTTATATTAAATATATTTTATACTTATAAATTTTAATAAATTCATATCCTATTTTAAATTTCAATTTTTATCTTATTTAAAATTATTTTATTTTTACTTTGTATAAAAAAATACATAAAAAATTATATATTAAACCGTATATTAATACAAAATAAAAATAAAAATAATATTTATATATATAATATACTTACAATTGATATCACAAAATAATATATATAATATTTACATAGATATTATATTATTAAATATATAATTTAAAATTAATAATATACTATAAAAGTTATTTAAGTTATATATTACAAATTAGGGATGACAAAAATACCCACACCCGTGGGTATCTGCGGGTAAAACCTGTTACGGATAATAAATGGATAGGTTAATTGGATACTCGCAGATAATGGGGACGGATAATTTTTTCCCCATTTATAACCGGGGCGGGGGTGGGTATGATGATATCCATACCCGCGGGTACCCGTTTAATAATATTTCTTAAATATCCTGATGGAATCATGCTTTGGAGTAGGTGACATACTCAAAGATCCAAGAGGAGTGGGCTAGACATGGAAGATTGGGCTAGTCAAGGCCCAATGGGCCCTATGGGCCTGGAAGGCCCAATCTTAGTTTCAACATGGGCCTATCTTGTTTTTAACATTCTTATTATATTTTTGTTAGCATAGTTTGAATATATTTTGGTCTTGTATTTTGGACCACATAGAGTAGCATTTTAGGTTTTAGGCTTGTTGGGCCTAGTTTTGGGCTTCATGGGTCTTTGGGCTTTTGGTACCCAATATTGGGCTCATTTTCATTCTTGTAATTTTTCCTTTCCATTGTAATTGTTTGACCAATGTAATTAGGTCATTAGAATAGGAAAATACAAGGAATACTAAAGT